CTCCTACCCACCCCAGGCCGCCGAGGAGGCCGAGGCGCTGCGCGGCGAGGTGGAGGGCCTGCGCACACAGCTGCAGCAGCAGAGGGACAAGGCTGTGGCGGCGCTGCAGCAGAGGGAGGAGGCTGCGCAGGCCCAGCAGCAGGCGCAGCAGCAGATCCAGGCGCAGCTGCGGCTGCAGCTCAAGCTGCAGGGCGCGGAAAAGGACTGCAAAATCAGGCAGCTGCAGGAGGAGGCGGCGCGTTGGCAGGCGGAAGCCGGGGAGCTGTCGGCGCAGATCTCCGCGAAGGACGAGATCATCGCCCAGATGGCGGAACAGGTGGCGCGCCAGCAGGCGGCTGGCGAGGAGGCGCGGGCGCGGGTCCAGCACCTGGAGGAGCAGCGTGGGAAGCTGCTCGCGGTGAAAGTGGAATACAAGGAGACGGCGCGGCGGCTGCGCGCAGAGAGCATCAGGTTGATCTCGGAGGCGCGCGTCAAGGGGGACCACGCCATGCGGCTGCAGGGGTGGCTCAAGCTGACGGCCGACGGCGCGGAGACGGCGCGCGGCGAGGCGGCGGCGCTGCGGGGCGGGCTGGCGCGCATGCAGGCGTGCCTGGGGGCGGTCCGGGAGGAGTGCGCTGGTGTTGACAGCTGCGTGAGCGACAGCTACAGCGGCAGTGGCGGCGACGACGACGGCAGCGAGGGCTGGGCAGAGGGCGGCGGCGAGCCGCAGGCGCTCTCCGGCGGCAGCTGCGGCGCCACCACCACCGCCAGCAGCAGCGGCGCCGTTACCCCTGCCAACGGCTGCGTCGACGAGGGCGGCAGCCGCTTGGTCAATGACGCGCATCCCACCTGCGCCGACGCGCCCGAGGGGGTCGGCGTTTTGGTGCAGGACGCCACCGCAGCCGACGGCGCCGGCGGCGCAGGCGCGCTGGCTGCCTCGGGCGGCGCCGACGATGGTCAGGCTGCCTCGCCGAGCGGCGGCGCGTGCGAGGGCACGGCCGAGGCGGTCAGCCGCGCTTGCCACGGCAACCTGTGCAGCATGCTCGAGGTAGCCGCCGCCCCCGCCGCCGCCTCCATCGCTGGCGGCGCGCAGCAGGGCGATGCTGCGGAAGAGGAGCAGGTGCAGGCGGACGACGGCGGCAGCTGCAGTGACAGCGAGCACGGCCAAGACGACGACGCCTCGGCGGCTAGCGAGCAGGACTGCGCTGTGGTCGTCTTCGTGCGCGTCGGCTCCCCTTGCAGCCTCAAGGCGGGGATGGCGGCGATTGTCGAGGGCCGCGACTGCAGCGGCACTGGCGACGCAGGTGACCGCGCATCCGGCTCGCCCGACAGCGCCAAGGCCGAGAATGCTGGCGGCGAGGGGGCAGCGCCAGGCGTGGGCGCGGGCGCGCGCACAGCCTGGTGGGGCCGGCTGCGCGGTAAGGCGTGCCAGGCCAAGGCTTCGCTGCGGCGCGGGGTGCTTGCGCCCCTGTGCTTCACTGGGGCTGGGGCCGACCGCTTCTAAGGGGCGGTGGTGCCAACCTCAATTGAGCATTGGGTATCCAATCTGTTTGTTCAAAACTCATGAACCGGGGACCCCAAACGTTTTGAGCCGCCGCCATACCGGCCGCCAAACGTACTTTCGCTACTGCATAAGCACCTGGCTCTGGGAGCCTGCATGTGTGCGCGTGCTGTGTGCGCATCGACATTGTCTGTGGCGCCTGCACACGCGTCACAACGCGGGCTTCAGCAGGGCTGCTGGGGCAACCCGATCCTTTTCTGCAAAAGGCATGGGCCAGGGGCAACCAAACGTTTTGAGCCGCCGCCATACCGGCCGCCAAACGTACTTTCGCTGCTGCGTAAACACCTGGCTCTGGAAGCCTGCATGTATGCGCAGTGTCACTGCCTGTGGTGCCTGCACCTGCGCCACAATGCGGGCGTCAGCAGGGTTAATGGGGCAACCCAATCCTTTTCTGCAATCGCATGAAGACTGCTTGGATCCAAACGTTTTGAGCCGCTGCCATACCGGCCGCCAAACGTACGTTGTGCTGCTTCACGCGCACCTGGCTGTGGGAGCCTGCATGCACATGCATGCCATGCACAGGAATGTGCCCGCAAATCCACCACCACGGGGTTTCTCCAGCAGGGTTGCGCTTGCGGTTGCTTTGCGGGCGGGGTTGATGTATCATCATCCGCCGCGGGCGGCCGAGCTCCCCGCTGCAAGAAGGGGCGTGTGCGGTTTGCACATGCGCAAATGCAGTCAGCTCGCCGACATTTGGGTGTGTTGGTTCCGACACGGCACGCCAAGGGGGTGCAATGGGCACCCTCCAGCCTGACACGGACCTGTGCACAGCGGGGAGGGGGCCTGCCAGCGGTGGTGCCCGGGGCCCCCTGCCATCCGCCACATTCCTGTACTGCATCGGGTCACGCGGGTGCCCAAGCGAGCCATTGCTCCACCGTCGTCCGCATCGCCAAGTGTTTTGAGCGCACACCAATGACGCTTGAACCGCAGCGAACGCTTCGATGCTGCTTGCAGCTTGGCGGCCGCAGAGCGCCCGCACAGGCCTTGGGGCCAACCCAATGTTGCACGCACAACGCGCACTAGAATGTATGGAGACGGTCTGCACGTTGGTTTCTAGTTTCTCAATGTTCCATCTGGACCGCCATACTCCCCCTGTGAGTAACTGTTCTGCCTCGACTGCTTGCTATCCGGCACGCACTGCTTGCGTGGGGCAGCCTCGCTGAGCACGCGGATGCTGCAGCTGCAACACTGTGCCCTTGAGGAGTGGATGTGTCACCCTCTCATAACGCCTGACTGACAGACACAGAGGGGCTGTCTGGTATTACTTTGCAGGAAAGATTACTTGCAGGAAAGCAGATCAATCGACGCTCCCCTTGCAATGCAACTCGAGGGGCCGGCGGATGCCTTGCCGCCGCACGACAGGGCAGAGCGCTGAGATGAATCTGCAGCACAGGGCATCCTGTCGTAAGCCCGGCGAGGGCGAACCGGTGTCGGGGCAAAGTGGGTGGCGAGACCGGGCTGAGCGGCGCTGCTGCACGATGGCATAGATGGGGACTGTCCTAGCATTATTGCCTGCTTGCGGGGCATGTGAGCTTGACCGGCTGGGTCAAACGCATTTACAGCGCCCCCCACCCCCCCCCCCCCAAAAAATCATTTCATGCTAAAACCCAGCTGGGCAGCCACACTCAAGTCATGCATCCGCGCCACCCCTCCCCCTCACCCTCCGCCAACAGTTGCCGGGGACCCGGGCGCGGGCCAGCCCCGTGACCCGGGATTATGCCACGGCTTCTGGGCGCCAGCAGTGTAGCGCACGCAGCAACGAGTGACAACCACCGGCCCGTCAACCATTGTGTCGCCGCGGTGAAGCGCTGGAACTGCGGGGGACACCAGGGACAGGCAGGCGGGTGGTGTGTGGCAGCATGGGTGCCGAGCTTGAAATGCAGACGATCCCCACCACCAGAGGCGCGGCGGCAATTATGTACAGCTGCATACTCTGCGTCCTCCTTGCAACAAATTAGTTCAAAAAGCTGGGAAGTCGGTGACTGCACCCCTTGATTGCAGACATTGTCCAACCTGTTTCAACCTGCAACCGGAAGTGGTCACCCCGCTCACCCACTCGTGCGGCGATGACCATACTTAACCAGCATTGTCGGGACAGCTGCAGCTGCAGCGTGCGGCCACCACACCTGCCCCAGGTACCGCATCTAGACGCCCCTGTGGCTGCTGCTGCTATTGCTGCTGCTGCTGCTGCTGCTGCTGCTGCTGCTGCGTGCTTTGCTCGGTGGCTGTGAGGGGTGTGCAGGTGTGCGTTTGCCTTCAAAGCAGGCACGACCGGGAAGCTTCCCGCGAGGTGGATGTAGATAATTCAAAGCTCACCGGGTGCCCCTCATGCTTGCCAACACGATCATGGATGTTGGACTACGACTGCTGCTGGACCGCAACCGCCACGAGGCCCGGCGCACGTGGCCGCGCCGCGCTGCACCCCGTGGCGACGCCCCGCCGCTCCCTCACCGCTTTATTTGACACTACAGAGCGGCCCCTGGCGACGCTGTCGAGGCATACGTGTTGCGCGCACAGATTCTCGCAGCCGAGGGCGCGCCCGCACATCCAGGCGATGTTGTGCCCATTGCCTTCATCCCTCGCAGCTGCCTGAGAACGTCTTGCGCCTCCAAGTGTATTTGGATGCAGCTCTTGCTGGACCCATGCTGCGCCGCTGCCCTTGATCAGCTGCTCGCTTGGAACCAGGTGTGCGCCGCTACCGCCGGCGTGATCTCAGTACGGCACAGCTTTTGATTTCGACGAAGCTGGTCGTACCATCATGTAATGGATATGCATGCAGCAACGTGGAGTCCATTCATTGCGCAAATAATTCTCTTTCTTTGCGGGGATGACGCATCATGGACGTCGTGACAGGATCTGGTGCATCAGTTTCATATATTGCCCATTGCCAACGTACCAAGGTAACCGATAGGATCTGCTCATGCTCTGCTGCCAGCCCGTGTTCACAGCCATCCAGCGGCGCAGGCGCCTCGCCCCCACACAGCTGCGTTCGCCAAGACGCGGCGCACGACGGCGGAGCGGGCCCTCAAGCAAAGCAGCAGGCAGGTGCGGAGGAGGGGCAACCTTGCCTGACGCCGCCCGGCTCTCGTGATGATCAAATCAATCAACCACGCAGCTGACTTGAGCTTCTGGCTCCGGCGCAGTCAGACAGCCGTTGGTGCCACCGCCGCCCGACCTTTGTCCCTCCCACATCATCCCGGCCGGCCCCACCTGCCGCTGTCACCCAGGCCACTGCCAAGACCATGAGGCGTGAGATGTAATGGCATCATGCTTGCCATGCTGGCAGATTGAAGCGGCCCAGGCCGCCCCAGATGCACCGCCGCGGTGGCTGAGCCGCCCTGCCGGCCGCGAGGTGGCGGCGCCTGCGCGGTTGAAGCCGTCTATATCAGCTCATGAGACTCTCTGTGGTCGCTGCTGAGTACCAGGTGGGCAGGAGATCTGGGTCGCATGGGGCCTGCAGCCGCAGCGCCGCCTAGCACAGTGTGGCCGCTGTCGGCACCTCCGATTTGCAGGGGTGTTTGCTCAATGCATGTGATAAGCATCAACGTTGGGATTGGGGGGCCCTGGCATGGGGATCCAAGCGAACATGGGCGGCACAGACGACCTGGGGAGCCCAGCAGCATGTGTGCTCTGCTCGTGCTGTGCCAGCAGACTGTGCTGGGAGGCGGTCGGCGCCATGTGCGCCCCTGCTCGTATTTCTCAGCGCCCTTGGCGTATTCGAAAAATTTTCATGATAACTGTGCGTTTGGTTACGTGTTCCCAGGTCCGACGGTGGTTGCACTGCTGGGAGTGGAAGGTGCAGAAAAATCCGACGGCTGCAAAACATACAACCCCCTGATAACAACCGCACAAATCGGGTGCAACTTATTGCGTGTTTCATGAGTCTAAACACATCATAGCGTTGCTTTTGAGGATGGTCATAACGGAGAGCCCCTGCCAGGGGGCTTCGTCCGCGCCCACAGCTCGGTGAGAAATCAAGAAACATAAGAGTGTTTCATACTTTCATGTTGACGTGATGCGCAGGGGGACGCGCATGGGGCACCATTCCGCGCCATGCGCCGTTGCGCGCGCATCCGCTCCCGCCCTGCCGCTGCGCCGCTCACACGCAACGCCTCTGCGCCGTCCCCCTCCTCCCCAGGCCCGGCTGGACGTTGCAGCAGGGCCCCACCCTGAAGGGCGGCCCTGGGGACAACGTGCGCGTCTATGCGTCGCGGGATAGCCAGACCGGGGCCCGCATGGTGGCCAAGGTTTACTCCAAGAAGGACATCAGGCAGCAGCCAGAGCTGCGAAGGATGGTGAGCCAAACAGGAGGCGCGGGGCGTGAACCGAAGGGGTGGTGGTCGGCGCGCATGGGCAGTGACACACCTGTCGCATTCGGTGTCATGGAGGGGCGCACCCTTGTTGGGGGGAGGGGGACACACGGCTTGGCAATCATGTGCGAGCCGCCCGCAAGCCGAGGCTGAATGCGCGATGATGGGCACGTGGCGTAATCAATCATTCGGCGGGCTCGCCGATGCGCGCGTGCGCGCACGCCTAGCTCGAGCGCTCGCCGCGCCCCCTCCCCACGTGCCTCTCGTCGCCGCACCCCGTCCCGACGCGCCGCCGCAGGTGCGAACAGAGTATGAGTTCCACAAGACCGATGCCCAGGAGGCGCCCGAGGCGATCGTCCGCATGGCGGCGCACCACCAGGACGAGGAGTACTTCTGGATGGGCTTCCCTGACGCCGGAAGGTGGGGCCCGCGCGGCTCGAAAACGGCGGCGTCTGGGGC